ACTCACTCATTAAACTGGATTCAAGGAAAATTTATAAAATTTAGTTTGAGTTAGCTCTGGGGCAGATGGTGTCAGTTATTACAATTATTGTCGTGTTTTATTAGGTAATGTCTCCCGTGAGCAGAATTGATTCCACAGTCGCCAATCCCACTATAATCACACCAATATCTCGGAGAAAGTCAAGTTGTAGATCTTAGACTAGACTCTCACACATATGTTTGGCCATGACATGGCAGCACATAAACAAAGTTCAATGAGATAAAACAGCCTTACACAAGTCGCAACGAACGCGTTTTTAGAGTTGAACGTAATTAGTCAAACCATAAAGCGCTTTATCGTTTTCACAACCCGTTACCGGTCTATGTCCAGCAGTAGACTGCGCTAGGCTGATAATGATGATGAGTTAATTTACTAAAATACGTCAAAGATTTAAGTCAGAGTGCTGGGAATAGCCAATCCAGCACCGCAACAACCCGTATAAGCAAAATTCTATATTATTCCTAAGGTTGCGGTAATATGCCTCTGTCCACCTCTTCTGAGATTTAGGCGTGAGTGAGTAAGTACGTAAAGTCACTGAAACTGAGTTTTTAACACATCTACCTTACTTCTCATCCAAACCTTCAACCGATTTAGTATCGATTTATATCGAATCAAATAAAAGTTTAAAGAATCCACAAATTTGTAAAACTTAATCGTCTTTTTTACCATACCGTGAACTATTTACTCAAAATAGAACGAGTAAAAAGCGTGTCTCTAAGTGAGGTACGTACACATTAGACAAAGCCCGATGTGTGCCGAATTGATTACATCGAGACTTGAGAATATGTTTGTGTTGGAAACGATGTCTTGCACGGCACATTTCTGATTAGGTAATAGCACTAATAGTTTGTTTTACGCCCAGTTCCGGTATTACCAAATATTCTTTTTGGTTATACACAGATTAAAAACGCTAAATTATAAGAAATTGATGAGCAATTGGGATTTCCTGTTTTGATTCCTAGAAAATGTTTTGAAGTTAACGGTATGGCGGTTTGGGTTTAAGTGGACTGTCTATGGGCCAGTAACTAGTGTCGTCACACTATTTACGATTTAGACATCTATTATCGTTAGTTACAAGTTACAAGTAATCGAGTAGTATTTTTAGTCGAATTTTAGCGATTCATATTGGGAACCTTGTCGTTTTTAGTTAACCTCGAATTGCCACAGTTCTTATCTCCTTATAATTTGTTTACTGCCACGGAGATTTATAAAAACATCTTCATTTTCTGCTGTTTCTCATTTTTTTAGTTAGATTACTGTTATTTTTTTTATTATTTTTTTAATAAGCTGGGCTTTCTCTTAGTTTCTGAAGGCTAGTCTATCGTTCACCAGTTCTTATTTCGGTTGTTAAACGTAACAATAAACTGCTAGGGAATATTTTTACCTAGTTAAAAGAAGTACCTAACCATTTATATCTAGTATCGTAATTTAATCCAGTACCATAATATGACTTCCATAAAATAGTGTTGGACGGATGGTTTATTTCTTTATATTGTGTCGTCTACAGGATATGCTGCTGCAAGGCATTTGAATTTAAATATTCATTTTACTAACAAAATTAAAAAAAATCGGTGAAGGTAGATACATCTCAAGCCACATCGACATCGAAATCGAAAGAAATGTAAAGACATCGATCATAAGGTCAGCTGATTTCTAATGATTAAAATAGGTAACGTTTATACCTCAATTAATAACATGAGTACTTAGTAATTGCCAGATTTGGCCTTTATGAAACACTTTCAGACGACGCTAGCGATTTCTTAAGAGATAAACCCATACATATTGTTGATTGAACGCATGATTCGAATTTGGAAGTGAAAAGGCATAACCAAAAGAAAAACCATAAACAGAAATTTATGCATCAAGGCCAAGGCGTTACTAATATTATGAGTACAAACTTTTGTAAAGATAAATATAGCATTAGCACAATGTTTTTGATTGTATAATTGCTATTGCTATTTCTATAATTTCGTAGTTAATATAAATTTTTAATCGCAAAGACGTAAGCAAATATAAATAAAGCTCTTCAAGTTATGAAGTAATTTTGAATTAAGAAATGAACAGGGAAGTAGCCTAGTATATACCTAAAGATATAAATATTATTGAAATAGTAGCTACACTACTAGCCTAACACTACACAGTTTTTATTTCTTTGAAATGATAATTAACAAACTGATCATAAGTTAATTGATACTGTTGAAGGTCGGGCCGATACGACCTTCAAAACTTTAAGAAAAGAGTGTTCTCCTTCCTAAATGGCCGGCAACGCGCTTGTGACTTCTGACTTGCAGACGTTAATGGGTGGCGGTAGTCACTTTCCATCAGGTGACCCGTCAGCTCGTCTGCCCCCTCTTCCACAAAAAAAGGTCGTGTATCTGTCTTAATTTTTATCTACTAACCAATGTGTATACATGCTGTTTTTATACTGTGTTTTCCAACTATGGAGGGCAGATAAGTAACCTAAGATTACCCCGCAGTAAAAAACATTTATTTAAAATGTAATAATCGTATTTGACATGCATATGAATTTGTTCACAATCTTCTATTCAACAACTGATGATGACTGCACGGATGTGCAGTCATCATCAGTAGTAGCTCAGCTCTAGTAGCTCAGCTTAGTAGTTTAAGCCGCTACTTCGCAGCTATATGCGCCGCGTAGTGTTGTGGGTTTGATCCTCACATAGGACAACATTTCGTGATCCACAAATTGTTGTTCCGAGTCTGAATGTTCTTTGTGTTCGTTTCGTATATTATTGTGAAGTCCCCCGTGACACACGATGTATTCCTAGGGCGGGACCTATCTTTAAATAAAAAAAAAGAAGACTCATGCAACAGTTGTCATCAAATCACACTTAGTAGCCAGAGTCACTTAAGATATTGAATTCTAATGGTAACGTTAATTTCAGGTATTTTACATAACCTTATAGAAAAGCAGCTCAGCTGTTTGCGGTTACGCTTTATACACTCTTAAATTCGTTTGCAGTGCTGTAAGTTTTTGTATGAGATCAATATAAAGTGGGAGTCGTAGCCTATCAAGAGGTCAAACCGATCGCAGGAAATAGAGAGGAGTGGCGACGATATAAAGCACTATAAATATTAAACATATTATTTTTTCGTATTCTGGAAGATTGGAGTCATAAAATGGGCATGTAGTACTAATTACAATTAATTAAATTAATTAAAAAAAAAATTACTAAGAATCCAACGTAAAATAATATTGATGTCATTGGACTAGAAACCTACAACCCCCACAGAGGAGACCGAGGTTTTCAGCATTACTAGTAGTCATCTATTATGTAGGTATTTTAGCATACAACAACAATCTTGATTGTATGATCTGCAGTGCTATTCTCTAAGGAAACAGCTTTGCATACAGCGCTGCCACATTTTGAAATTCGACGCTAGATTCAGGTAATAGGAAAGTGAGTAAAAAGCTAAAGATACAAGTATATTTAGAACACATAATGTTTATTTACACTAAGTAATATTCACATAGTTTATGAAGCACGTTTTAAGTGCTGCTATTGTAAAAACGTTACATTAAGTATTTGTAAGTAATCATAGTAGGAACGAGAAGTCATTACCTGTGATCGTTTTCACTACTCTCAAGTAAAGCCAGTTTTATTTAAAATCAGTAAGTAGTAGTTGGTAAATACTAGTATAAATTAAAGCGTCATAACTTCTTTTAGTCGAGTATTTAGTCGATTCTTGTATAAAACATTTTTAACGGTACGAAATTTGAATTTACTTGAAACCGTAAACCTGATCACAGTTTTAAGTAATTAAAAAATAAGCAAAGGAATTTTAACTACAAAACATGTTGTTGCTTTATTCAAAACTGTACAAATCCGGTATATAATTACATAGATAAAATTCATGAAGCTTTTTAATGACTACAGACATAGAAATTGTTAGATGTTTTCAAGAAAGAGATCGAATTCTACTGATACTACCTACTTTTTATAAAATTGCAAGTCCTCCTATATTTTACATTAATATAAATATAATTGGTAAGTTATTTCGAAAGACATTCAGATTTTATCATTATAAATATTAGACCATAGAAATAATGATTGATACAACAAAGTTTAATGAGTACTTTTCATAAAGCATACAAAATTGTAAAACTGGAAAGTAATTTGTGAGGTTTCGCTTTAAAATCATTACAAGTTTACGACGGGCTTCATTATTTTGGACGTAACAGTGTTAAAATCACATGAAATTACTTAGTCATTACCATTAATATACGTTCTCTATATTGCTGGTAGTTAATTAGTAGAAATCCACATTTTGCGCTAATTTTAAATTAGTAATTACTTTACTAATTAAAAATTAGATAAGATACTATACACTTCATTTCTCTCAGTAATACTATAAAACTACAATTTAAATCATTACTCTTAACCTAAACAAACTAACTTTACATTTATATGTACAATCGTAACATATGTATATTAGGTATTGTAACTGGCTATAGCTGTTTAATTTTATTATAAGTATTGCACATTCACACGGGAAAGTATACAGTATCTACATATTCAAAAAGTGTTATAATGTTTTGACAGGCTTACATCTATTTAATAAAATTATTGATGCCCAACAAGCCAGTTAACAACCCAATTAAATAAATAATTTAATGATATCTCTATAAAATATTAAGTACTTAAATAATAAAATCAACTATCACATTTATTTCGAACGAAGCTTTATAAGTTTTGTACAACAATACACTACTATCTAATACTATTTACAGACGTATTAAAAAGTGATGTAGGTACTTTACGAAATACTATTAATAGTGAAGATAAAACATCTAACGTCACTAAAACGTTCATATTGAAATTTAAATCGTGTAACGCAACAGTCACTTTAGTCGAATTAAATATTCGATTACTCGATTAATAGTCGAGTACGCGCCGATCGTAGTTGACATCAGTCGAGATCGAGCGCGATGCCTCGTTTCATTTAGACGCGTTAACAACAAGATTCGTCGCCGCTTCTTCACTTGCGCCTATGCTCATAGCCTTCTTCTTCAGAATGCCCAGATCAGTCACATTTTCTAAGAAACTTTTGTGGGCCGATAGGACTTTTGCACTTTCTACATCTTTCTTCAACTCTTCCATATCACGCTTCAGTTTTGCCCGCCTATTCTGGAACCAAGTTATAACTTGTGCGTTAGAGAGACCTAGCGAACTCGCAATTTCGTCTCTATCCGCTGGTGATAAGTACTTCTGGTAAAGAAACCGTTTTTCGAGTTCGAATATTTGGTGGTTTGTGAAAGCTGTTCTGGATTTTCGTTTCTTTTTTGGCTGCGGTCTGTTGTTGAAGAGATTCAGGTGATTTGACTGACCATCTAGAACAAAAAATCATCGGATTAGATAAGGCTATTAAGCTATTAACTATGTGTAAAGAAGAATTTAGTAAGTGGCCAATTGACAAGGTATTAAAGGAAAAACGTTGCGTTAAAAGATTGAAACAAACTCGTTTATTAATTTAACGAATTTTGATATTTTTTTTTGTTACTAACGAAGTTTGCCTTTCTCTAAGGTCAACGTAATAGGTGACTAACATCTATAATCGATTAGCAGTGCTGTAAATAACATATAACATGTTTTTGATCTTACTAAATAAGTACAACAGAAACTAACATGAAAAAGCTGCATAAATTGGTAAAGTTGGATCCACCATGTGTATGTGGTAAAAATTCAATCCCTAGAAGACAAACCAATAAAGTAATTAAAAGCCAATTACGATTAAATAGGAATCAATAAAAGTAAAGAGAAATAAACAAATTTCAAATAGGCCGCAATGATATCAAGCCTCTATCGATTATGGTCTGGGCGCAGAGGTGTTACAGCAATAAGGATTTAAGTAAAAAGTCGAGTTATTGTGGCAGAGATAAACCCCATCGTTATCAGGCACTAAAACATTAGAGTCTATGACACTGCAATAAAGAGCCCGCAGCGCTAAAATGTTACTCTCTCGTAAAAAGTACTATAAAACACACCCAGGTATCGTTACTTTTTAACGAGCAGACAATCATATATACGGGCCATGCATAAAACTGTTTTATAATGATGAAAAAACAATCAAACCTACAAAGTAACAAATTAAATGTGCATATTATCGTTTTCAGTAGTGGCTAGTCATTGCAATGAAAATGTATTTTGTTTAGCAAACAAGGATAGTTTTTATTCGAATAAGTTCGTACTCGACTAAGGTCCATAAGGAGTATAAGTGCGATGGACTTGATGAGGGTGACGGAAGATTGGAAGTTACTGAGACAATCTTATGTCTATTAGTCGCCAGCAATAGCTATGCTGATTGATTGATGTATAACCCACACGACGTCGTTGAATTATTATTATTGAACTTGCTACACGTTTTAAATTAGAGTTTTTAGAAACAGTATTTACAGTCCTGTATGTAATTTAGACGATAACAAAATAAAAACAGATAATTTAGATAAGAACAGGCAGTGGCCTTCAGATTCTGAAATATTATTTTAGGTTACATTATAAACTTAGACGGCAATGTATACAGGCAAAATTGATGTAGATATTGGTTTTATGAATATTGGCTAGAGAGGATATTCAAAGTGTAAATATACAACATAGTTTAACTGTGGAGTGAGGATTGAGGATGTTAAGAAAGAAAGAAAGAAAGAAACATTTATTTGCAGAGAATACAGGTGGTACCAGATTTTATAAAGGTGTATAATGTTCAAGCTATATTCTGCCTGTACTAGGCATGCAAATATTTTTATAGAGACTCAAAACATTAACTAATGATAACTATTAACTAATAAAATTAACAAAATGTCAAAAAAAAAAAAATGGTGTATTTAAAAAGAAATAAGTTTTTTTTTCTGAATGTAAGAATAAAGCAGTATACCACAGAGTCCTAAATTAAAGATTTAACCTTAAATAAATAAAAAACAGTCAGTCAAATACTTTTTTGACGTTGTTTAGAACTGTTAGAACTTATTTACTGTTGTCGCGATAACGTAAAGGAAATAAAGACACAACAATGGCGCTGTATATGCATCCGGCATACTTGTATTATCTACTTTCAGATTGCACACACGTGTAATTATTTTTTCAAATTAACTTGTTAATATTTATGGCTTGACTCGGTTCATAACAATCTTTACTCTTTTGCTCTAGTTTATTAGTTTTAAGCGTGATTTTAAATAAAAAATATTTTTTTCCGCTAATGACATATTATTATGACACATCATATCATCGCATCAACAACCTGTAATAGTCCACTACTGGACATAGGCCTACTATACCATAGTTGGTAAAGGGTTTGTGTCAAGTTTTATTTTTCTTATCATACAACCTTATTTTAGACTATTTATTTTTTGTCTATATTTTTGTTCAACAACAGATACAATATTATGATCATTAAAAAGTATGAATACAAGATGACGACCTCCACGCTGATATTTTACGCGAGAATTTACGCGGTTCACCACAGATATTTAATAAAAATGGCCAGTCTCTTTAACGTCCTGTCGTTAAGCAAAACTACCTATGTATTGTCAGATTATTGGAATTCACAACATTAAAGTTAATGTACAATCATATTAACCACATGCAAAAAGAAAAGGTCTTGGGCTTCTCATAACATTTTCACATTATTAATGTTGGTTTGCACAAAAGAATTCAGCATTTGTCGGACGATTAATACCTTTGGAAAATGACTCACATTAGCCCATAGACACAATAATTATTATTTATATACTTTATAAATTACTTCTACTAACTTTGAATATATAAAATAGATCTTGCGAAACGTACCTACTTATGAACTTAGTTTGTTCTCAATATGAAATCTTTTTATTTCTTTACTCTCAAAGGACATGTGATTATAAGTATACTTTACTACATTAGTCCAATTTATATATCATACACTCGCTTTATTTATTTTTTACAAATATTTTTGGCCAACGTCGTCGGTATGATGTAAGAATTCGTCTGGGGGCTGTTGGTATTTTGCTGTTTAGTCATGTGGTACTAATAGTGAAATAACGAAACTCACCCACATAGATACAATAGCAAATATATTTTGTTAAGGCATAGGAGAGCAAACTAGCAGATAGATCACCTGATGGTAAGTGACTACCGCCTGCCTTGATACCTGCAACTCAAGGGTCACAAGTGTATTGCCAACCGTTGAGTCCCCTCCCAAAATAAGTGGGAGGAATGGAGGTTACCGGAGCCAAATCGGGGAGATTTGGCTCCAGTAATTCCGGCTTTTCACCGCTCACTCGGTGAAAAGCAATGAAATAACTGTTTAACACCGGTTTTTGGAAGCCATGGTTAACATTCCGGTTGAAGCTCCCCATCTGTGCCGAAGTATGGTTCTATAACGGATTAATATTATATTATATTATTACACTTCATTTTTTTTAAATCGTGTAATTTACATTTGCCTTTAATCGGATTCTGTTTCCGTTCAAAAATATTGTTTTATATGACAACCTGATATAAAATTAGAATCGTTGTGGAGATCAAAAGAATCAATTAGTACAAATTCAGACTTAGAGTGTTTAATTTGATAAATCTTTACGAATTTATAACTGGCAAGACTTTCGGTCACCGTCACTTTAAATTAGGAAACGTGAAATTATTTATATGTATTCATTTTATTTTCAAATCGTCTGTACTTAGTGGCCGTTTGCTTTCTATGCCTTGAGTTACTGTTCTTAAAATATGTGTATATATTTGTAATTTTTAGATAATTTGTTCTGGTCACGTTGATACTTTAGATCGAGTCTAATAGTTAGTTAAATTTATTTGTTATTATTATGGTAGGTAGTGCACCAATACCCATATTGAACATTATAATTTGATTGAAATGTAAAAGAACGTTGACCTTTAGAAAATTATAGATCGAACTAGTATTCTTAAAGCGATAAAAGTTTTGTGACGTAATCGTTATAACACCTCTACTGTCCCTATCGATGTAAAACGTCTGTGAAGGATAGGGTTGCACCAACAGCGGGTAGTTGCTGTATCAGCTCATCTGTAACTAATTCCTACAAAATATTAATAAAGTCGTTTTTTTGACGGATTTGAAATTCTTCTCAGATCTTAGGCTCTTTGAGGACGCAATAGCCAGGAGTGTGGACTGGCCTCAGTCTGCCCACTCTGTTAATTAAAACCTCCTTAAAAAACCTTTTATTAAAACCACTGCTCTTCTATTTTTAAATTAAAGTTCAAATACATGGCCGCTTACATTCCACTTCAAATCAGCCGACTTTATACCGGCTGTATTAATCATCGCCTAATCGCATCCTTAGCGAATCCGGACCTCAATTAGGTCTGTATAAAACAAGCCAAATGCTAAAAAAGCGCCGACTCAAAAGACATCGTTAATGCTCTTATAAAAAAATATAAAATCAGTCACGGCGAAGTATTCACATTGTGAATCACGTGTTTCAAGCTTTCGGTGGATCGGTCATGTTGCTTAATATTTCCTGTACCTACCTCTCTACGTTTTTTAAGTGACGACAGATAACAAGGGCTGAGGCATTTTGTTTGTGGACATATCGTAGATATAGGTATACCTAATTATAAGAATGCCTGGCCAAAAAAATCAATTTAACTTTTTTTCCATTATTGTGAAATGATTTTTTCATATAATCTGTTACATATAATTAAACAAAGAAACTCACTAAGATACAAAAACCTTCAAAACTTTATATGTACTTTAAATTTTCGATTCGTTTAAAAAAAATACGACTAATATATTTCTTAATTAAGTTGTAATGTTTTGTATGTAAATACATTTTTTTGATTTTATGCATATTGTTACAATCATAATACATAGGTATGTTTTGTTGTTTATGATAAAGCATTCGTATTATGTTTATAAGGTTGTTGATAATGTTTTATTAATACTGCATAGTATGATTCATCCTACGTACAAATTGTACATCAAATTAATTAAGTTTATAAACGACATCAATAAAAGTTAAAGAGACAATATTCATCAAAATCGCAAAGGTCGATACGCAATAATGCTGAGCGCATCATTTATCAGATTTAAGCCGAATTTTAATTCTGATGCTGCATCAAAGGCTGTAGAGAATCGAGACTTCCTTCATCGTTTTATTTTGTCATGCCTGTTTCTTTAGGTACTTAATTAATTCTTCAATAACATCACGTACTGGCTTGTGTGTGAGCGGCATCGGACTGACCGTATATTTTTTATCTAAAACATGCGCATTGTTTCGAAATCCATCGACCTTTCGAAACGAATGAGACAACAAAAGTTTTTGGGTGAGCGCGCAATCGATACCATTTAATCGATCGCATCGTTAGGTGTCGCTATGTTTATTGGAATCGTAATCAATGGAGTTGCGAGTGCTGACTGGATCGATACGCACGTAATGTTGCATTTAAAGGTCGGTTTTGTTTTGTAGCGAACTAGGGTTAAGCATGTTACGGTGGAAGGGGTAACGAGCCGGCAAACTGGAGGCATTCAGTTGTATCAAACAAAACCAAAGATTTTTATGCCATTTATTCGGTTACCGTGAACCTTTGATTAGGATTTAACAATGGCTTACATTTTTCACTGTTCTTTTAGTTGAGATTATTTGGCTATAGTAAAACTATTCTTCACTAAATGTTTACTCATGTGACGAAGACCCATGTAAGGCTTTATTTGGGCTGTTTATTATTAAATAAACTGTCAAAATGGTAGAATGTACATATTACTTGGCAACACTATTTGTAATTAAGTATTGACCTTATTTGCACTCCTTACCTCATTATACTAAATTATTTAGATTTTTTGGAAAACTCTTTAAATGCCAACATTGATTGATAACTAATTTCGTCTATTAGTAGAAACTAATTTCTTACATAGCACACAATAAAAGAGTTAAGATTTTTGTTACATGTTCGATACTTTGCTCGCACAAAACAACCTGACCTAAAATTCTTCAATCGTGATGTTTGAACAATAGTCTTGGACAGGTCTTTAACGATCACAAATTGAATGTCCTGTGTTATCTTTTTTTATTGGGCAGCTTGTTATGCGGAACCCGTAGCACAAAGGGATACCTTCTTTTTCTTAGATTGCATGCTCGTTTGTACTTGTGTGTAAAAGCGTATCGAAGTGGAATTATACGTGGTATCCATTGATTTTGATACCCTGATTGATTAGGGTACAGGTGGTGGCAAGGTACTGATTGATTCGAACATTTAGGAGATCAGGGGCGAAAATTAAATGACGTATTTTTTGGTTTCTATATTATATTTTATAGATTAGCTATGCCTATATTTTTTCGCTGTTTTGTTTAGTTGCTACTAGTTTACTATTTCTATAGGTTTTGGAATTGTTCCGTGCTTATAATTATAAGTATTTATTTCCATACTCACAGATCACAGATCTATTCAGGTCTAAATATATTAGTGATAATGATAATTGACCTATTTCTTAGCCTTCCATGGATCCACTGTATTACGCGATGGACCCGGTCCCGGTCCTTCGCGTGTTAGATGCGAGCAACGCAATACGACTGAAGTAGGTTGAGGGAGCACTCCTTGCGACACACCTCCACTGTCTGCTTTGTATGATATATACCCCCTAATAATGCTGCATACGATATTTCTTAAAGACTTTTCTTGAACGAACATCCATAGCGGCATTGTTAGGATTGCCAAGAGCTTCAGTAAGCTCTTGGTAATCCAAGGTCTTTAAACAGGTTATAGAGGGATTTAGCTAGTATACCCCTCTCACCCACTACCATGATATGTTATTCTTTACAGCCATTATGAGCTTTTATACTTAATAAAACATCAAACAGTTCACAAACACTAAATAAATATATTGCCCAACAATATTCCTTTTACGTGATTAGTATGCTAAACGCTTTGCTAAACGCAATTACGGATAGTATGCATAATAACTGGGTATCAAACAAAGATATAAATAAGAAAAGAAAATAAAAATAATGCAATCGGCGTTGTTTGATTATATGAATACGAATGAGCTCGATATAATGACTGTTATTTCACATTGTTTTACAAAAACCGTTCATATACCCACTTTTTGTGGTGAATTACCACGTTAATGTGAAAAAGCTGTAACTTGTGTACGATTATCAATTTCATAATTGTAATTATTATTTCTATTCGTATTTCTACATATCATATCATCACACACAACAAACTTTTTTACGTTTTTACAAATAGGTGTCACATTAATTAAAAAATGTTACGTCGAGTTGTCAAGCAAATCTCAAAATAATACAATTTTTAGGAAAGTAACAAAACTATTGTCCATGTCAGTCCATGATATTGCTTCGCGAGAAAAGGTTTTGAACGATTTTCCATTGCCTAAGAAATCTGCTAGAAGATAGATTAATTTTATATAGATATATACCTACCTACAGAATGAATATTCTTATTTCTTTACGTTTAGTAATAAACTGTCATACATCATTGAGGCCAAAAGAGCTTTTTAACGCGAATATGTTTCCCGATTTTATAATACAACATTTAAATACAACTGACACATCTTAGATACAAGATCAAAAACGTCAAAATACTCCCGCCATTATCAAAACAAGGTACAAAGGCGTTCCGTATGAACGGTCGGATTCTTACCACGGCCTATTTCTGCTGGCTCTCTGTCACGCCGCCCGTGCCTTGTGTATACACAGCACCGATGTACTGACAGACACTCTATGGTGCCGCGGTATAATGGTGCGTGACATACAACGATGTTTTTGCTTCTTAATTAAGGATAAGTATCCGGTTAACTCATTTCTGTTAAACTGAGATTAGGGCAGTGCTTGTTTAAAAAAATAACTAAACAAGTCAAGTGGTTATAATCCTTACTAAACTTTTTATAACGTATTTAAAATAGGAAACTGTCTTCGAACAACAAAATTAAATGAGTCTACTTATGACAAAATCTTACGGATTGATTTATTAGCAGGTCTCTTTCCGTAAATAACATCTGTGCCGGGCAATCGTCTAAAACTGTTGTATTTCTATACTTCCATAATAAATTCCTTGATAACAGCATACATGTTTATTTCATAATACCATCGATTTAAATATTTTGAATTCGGTTAAATTCGATTTTTATCTACCTAACACGCCTTTGGCGTAGGTACAGACTTATTTACTTAGTACTCAAATGCGTAGCTGACAAGCATTCACATCTTCAAAATATTTATTGAATAGTATCTACTAAACAATAATCTTTTTTGTGGAAAAAATGTTTAGTGCTCCGAATAAAGCATTGCATTCAAACTGTTAAGTAATGAAAATTGCATAGCGAAAAAAGCGGTAGCAACCAATTTGACAAACGAGTGAGTTGCGGTCGATTCGAATCAAAACAATTTGGTTAGGTGCAGTTCCTTCTCGGAATTCTTACGAAAATAACATTCCTAATTTGTTTTTTATACTACATAGTAATTTGAATTAAATTAAAAAAGAAGAATACTCGTAATATTCAAACGTTTTAAATCTTTTTAATTGCCCATAGCGTAAATGCCACAGATGCGTAATACGGATCTGGCACGATTTCAATATTCATACATTATGATATCGATATGTGAATTGATGTAATAAACTCTACGTATTGTAACGCTACGCCGTGCCAAGCCATATTAAGCCAAGCCAAGCTATATGAAGCCAAGCCAAGCCAATGCCGCGCCACGACAGTTTAGTGCCGAAACTGTCAGCCAAGCCCGCCATTAATCGTCGGCGACGTCACATCCAACTGTCAAACCATGACTATAAATTCCTGTCCCGCTCATTTGGTGGATTCATTGCGTTGTGTACACTCGAATAAGTCGGAACTCTTGTCTAATTATATACGAATAGAAATTATAATTATATTCTTAAAATAAATAATTGATTAATAAGGAAAATAGTTTCGTTATTATTGCCGTTTGTTACATTCAGAAGTGGAATGAAACGTAATCGCCCTAACGAAGACGTGGGACATGGAGTCCGCCCGCCTGGATGGTGCGAACCAGAACACGAACAGACTAGTGAAGATGAAGACTACCCTCCACCACCTGCAAAAAAAAATACTCAAAAGCCTAATAGAAAATGAGGTTGGGAAGGCGATACACGAATTCAACGAAGAATTCTTTTCACAAAATCATTTTAAGAGCCATCGCGCAGCCTCGCTTATCCCTGAATTTGATCCTGAAGGAGAAGATTGTACAGTAACGGCGTGGTTGAAGAAAATTGACCAGTTAGGAGACATACACGGCTGGAGCGATAAGGTAAAAGCGTTTCACTTACAAGATAAACTCCGTGGTCAAGCCCGCAAGTGGTATAACAGACTCGATGAATATAATTACACATGGACCGAGTGGAAACATATGTTACTTAGAGCTTTTCCCAAACATCGCGATTACAGTGCACTATTAGACGAAATGATGAACAGGAAGAAGCTGCCTAACGAAACAATGACGAAATATTACCAAGATAAAATCTCCATGTGTTTTCGTTGTGATTTATCTGATGCCGCTAGTGTTTCGTGCATAATCAGGGGCCTACCAATTTCGTTACAATCAAATGCACGAGCATTTCAATGTCAGCGTCCAGATGAACTTTACGAGGCCTTTCTATGTGCCCTCGATGATTATCGTCTACCGACATTCGAAACAAGAGAGAAGTTTAACAAAGATGCCAAACAATCATCCAGCTTAGAAAAAAAGGTTAACCCTGAAATTGATCCCTGCCTGGTTGTTGCAAGAAAATCGGCCATATTCTACGAAATTGTCCATTACCCGATCAACGGACTTGCTACAAGTGCGGAGTAAAAGGTCACATTGCCACACGCTGTTCTACCTCTTCAATACATACGAAACCTCCCGCCGATACAAATGGCAACGTCAAAGAAATCAAACTTGTTCAAAATTATAACGAGATTTATAAGAAGATTGTGAAGGTAAATGGTATTTTTCTGAAATCTTATATAGACACGGGCAGCCAAGTCAATGTTATAAACAACCGCATCGTTAGTGTTTTGCAGCTTAACGTTCGACCTACGAGAACTATTTTAAAAGGCTTTTCTGGTGGTTTACTAACAAGCCGCGGTGAAGTAGACTTTGACCTCGAAATTGATAACATTCAGGTACAATGTACCGCGCACGTTATTGAAGTAGATATGCAAGATATTCATTTGCTAATTGGCCAGCCAGTCATCAACGCTGATCAAGTCTCACTAGTAGTGACTAACGGAACCGCTACATTAAGAATGGATGCCAACCCGTTTGCCGAATGCCAGGTAGTAGAAGAAAATCAGAAATTTAAGGTAGTAACATCAAACAAAGAATCCTTACCACCCGGTGCCTCTATCATCAAAGTTAATGTGCTGGACAACGTTGAGGAAAATGATGTATGCACGGCACCCCGCCTCTATGAACTGCAGGGAGATTCGTACTCGTTACCGGCTGTATTGCTCAGAGGCAAAGAGGGCTACATGAAGATTATCAACACAGGTGACACGAATATCAACTGGGAACCCGGCAAGATCCTAACCCGAGCACATACCTGCGTCGCATCAGCAACCCACTCGAGCCGGGTAAGTTCAGCCAAGCCATTATTATCTAACTCGTCACAAATTCTTCCAAATAAGCCAAACTGCTCAGAGAATAGAGTTTGCGTTTTAAGAAATGCTACCAAGCCGTCTGCCTCCGTTTTAGTCACGACCCAAATCACTTGTAATAGAATAGGTGGTGTACCCATATCCGACATTAGTATAGGATGTTTAAATGAAAACGAGCATACAATTTTATTACATTTATTATCACAATATAAACACACTTTTGCAAGTAGTACACAAGATCTCGGTTGTTCAAATTTGTTACATATGAAAATAAAACTTACCACAGAGCAACCTATATATCGTCAACCTTATAGGTTATCACATACTGAACAACAAATAGTTAACTCCAAAGTACGCGAGTTACTAGATGACGGTATTATTGAAGAATCCGAATCCGAATACGCCTCTCCAGTTATCCTAGTAAAGAAAAAGAACGGTGATAGTCGCTTATGTGTTGATTATCGTGCTCTTAACTCTATAACTGTAAAAGATAGATATCCGTTGCCCAATATCGATGATCAGATTTCAAAACTAACTAGGTTATCATCAACTGCCAATTGCACCCGAAGACGCTCACAAAACTGCCTTTATTACATCTCAGGGCCATTTTCAATATTTACGCGTGCCATATGGGTTAGCTAACGCACCAGCAGTTTTTATGCGAATGATTAGTAAACTTGTCGATTCTATCCGTCACAAAAATCATTACAAACCTCCATTTCTAAACAAGATATTTCAACAAATTATGACATTCTTGCATTCTTAGATGATTTACTACTACCCTCGCCTGACTTTAATTCTGGTATAAATATTTTAGAATCTGTGTTACAAAAGTTTCAATCAGGAAATCTAAAATTAAATATGAAAAAGTGTTCCTTTTTACAAAACAAAGTGACTTATTTAGGATATGAAATTTCGCACGAAGGTATACAACCATCAGAGTCAAGATTAATAGCAGTTTCACATTTTCAAGCTATGAGCTTGAAACATTGGCAGTTGTGGAATCGTTGCGTAAGTTTCGTGTGTATGTAGTAGGTAAACATGTAAAGATAGTGACCGACTGTACTGCCGTTCGCGCCACTCTTACAAAACGCGATATTATACCGCGTATTGCAAGATGGTGGCTATCAATACAGGAATACGATATTAGTGTAGAATATAGACCCGGGGAACGTATGAAACATGTCGACGCGCTAAGCAGGAACCCAATTGACGCTATAAATATTAATCGCCTAGAAGTCATTGACTGGTTTTTTACAATTCAATATCAGGATGACAAGTTGAAAAATATTATCGACCTACTAAAAACTGGGTCAGCCGGACGCGATGTAGCTAAAGATTACGTGTTGTTAGACAATAGATTATATAGGAAGACTCCAGCTGGTAATCGACTCGTAGTGCCTGGGGCTGCTAGGTGGAAGATTGTTCAAATGCATCACGACGAAATAGGACACGTAGGACTGAAACGTTGCACTGATCTGATTAAAAGTGATTATTGGTTTCCAAAGATGACTCGCTTCATTCGTAAATACGTAACATCTTGTCTAAGTTGCGCGTATGGTAAGGGAGATCATGGTAGAAAGGAAGGCAAGTTACATCCGATCCCTAAGCCTAACGAACCTTTTAGAATGATACATGTCGATCACTTAGGCCCATTCTGTAGGACAAAGAAAGGTTATCAATATATGCTAGTTATAACCGACGCATTTTCAAAGTTCGTAATCGCGGAATGTACGCGCACAGTTAACTCGGTAGAGGCCATCAGAGCTCTGAAAAGAACATTCGCATTATTTGGTTACCCGGACAGGATAGTTACCGATCATGGAAAAGCTTTTACCAGTAGGTACTTTAAGAAATTTGCGACGGATAAACAGTTTAGACATACGTTGAATGCTATCGCGTGTCCTCGTTCTAACGGACAAGTTGAACGCACTAATCGCACTATTTTAAATGCCCTACGTGCCACTGGCCCTAGTGAAGTAGCCAACAACTGGTCTAACTGTTTACCCGATGTAATTTGGGGTATAAATAATACTTTAAATGATACTACTGGCTTTAAGCCGTTTGATTTAATGTTCGCACGTACCAGTAGGCCAGTGTGCGATGTAATCATTCCTGATCGTGTTTCGGAATCGACCGAGTCCAAGCGTACTAAGGCTAGTGTCCGTATTAATAAAGCTAGCGCCAAGATGAAACATAATTTTGACAAACGCCGCAAAAACTGTCGTGTTTACAAAAAGGGAGACCTAGTTTTATGGAGGCAGGCACCTACTAGTAGTGCTTCTAAAGTTAACACAAAGCTAGATGACTTATATTCAGGCCCCTACATAATCACTAGAGCCGTTGGCAATGACAGATACAGGATCAAGAGCATAAAAGGTTTAAGGGGGTACAAAAAATTTACTGGGTTAGTTTCTGCAGACTCTTTGCGTCCTTATTGTAGTGTAGCCCCCGCATCTGACAGTGCCAGCAGCTCTGATGATCAACTAGAGACTGAGGACCTTATTGACCTGCTGGAAAGCTAATAATTACGTATGCTCCATTGCGGGAGCAATGATTACAGGATGGCCGATTGTAACGCTACGCCGTGCCAAGCCATATTAAGCCAAGCCAAGCTATATGAAGCCAAGCCAAGCCAATGCCGCGCCACGACAGTTTAGTGCCGAAACTGTCAGCCAAGCCCGCCATTAATCGTCGGCGACGTCACATCCAACTGTCAAACCATGACTATAAATTCCTGTCCCGCTCATTTGGTGGATTCATTGCGTTGTGTACACTCGAATAAGTCGGAACTCTTGTCTAATTATATACGAATAGAAATTATAATTATATTCTTAAAATAAATAATTGATTAATAAGGAAAATAGTTTCGTTATTATTGCCGTTTGTTACAGTATATTGAAAGATCCATCATTTCAATGAGTTTATGTGCAGCTATTAAGATTTAAACCATTATGAGTTAAATGCGTTAGTTTACCACCAGTCCACATACTTATTCCTACGCAATGTACCGGTAAAATCCATATTAATATTATAAATGAGAAAGTATGTCTGCCTATCTGTCTTTCTGCCTGTCTGTCTGTCTGTCTGTTAACTTTTCACGCTTAAACCGCTGAACCGATTTAGATTAAATTTTGGTTAAGAGATTGTCCGAGTCCCGGGAGAGCACAAAGGAGTTTTTTATGTACTGTAGTACTAGTAGTACTAGTACTGTATAAATATTAAAAAAAAAAGCTTTTTTAATAATATTTTACCACATTCACATAACGCCATCTAGTCCCTAACTAAGCAGAGCTTGTACTGTGGGGACAACTGATATAAATACATATAGACTTTTTTTTGTAAATACATACATATTATACATAGAAACACCCAGACCAAATCAAACATTAAAAGTTCATGCACACAAATGATTGACTTGAGCGGGAATCGAACCCGCGACCTTTAGAATAACAGTCCGTTGTACAAACCACTACGCCATCCGGTCGTCTAATACTATCATTATTAATATAAATAATCTTTAATACATCATGATGGTAAAATTTAATGTTTCCAATCATTAATAAATTGCTGCTTTGAATAGATATCTTCACCGTGTTAAAATGATAAGTTCCTATAGTTGCTATATCTATAGTTGTGCTGGCTAATCTGCTGAAAATACTAAGAGAATATATATGTACTATCTTTAAGAGTGTTATTACCAAAAAGTGTTGTGACTCGTGTATATTTTTTAGCCTTTTTATAGCCGATCTATTGACGCAGAACTCAAGCACAGATCAAAGCGAGGTATAATCTAATAAAACAATCTTAGCTTTCAACCACATTCTCACGGCTCCCGTTCGTTGTTCAGTTGTTCACACGAATGGACATTTGGGTGGTGCACGTAGGACCTTTTGGTTTCACGGCCCGTTGGCCACCAGATTGAGGAAAGAATCAAATCGCTCACAGTTCGAAATTCGAATTACATCTCTATTTGCAGTCGTTTATTTTGTAAAATATCGGTTAGTTGGTAAACCGCTGAGAAATACTCAATAGTCTCAATAGTCAACAGTCTCAGACTCAATAGAGCTCATTGGTCTGTCACCTTTAAAGTACTGTTTCTTTTTTGTCGTAACGGTGTTTTTGAAATTGGAAATTGCTTGATGGTTTTATTTGAATGTATTCCAATCACTACCCAAATGGCTACTGGTTCAAAATGATATATTATTATAT